CCATGTTGCAGCTGCTCCTATTTAAGGGATAATTGTAGCCTCACTTTTCTACAAGGAACTAATTCTGATTTTGAAAGGATTTGTCCTCACAGTTTATCCTGATGAGAGAGGACTGGATTATTGCCGTGTAAAATAGCTGAATAGTCCTATTATAGCTATTATGTCACAAATGTTGTATATTGTTGAAGATCAAAGTACTGTACCACACTCAATGGTGAGATGTACAAGCATGGCACACTTCCCAAATTATGTAAAAAATACTGCATTTTATGAGTCATTTAGTACCATGTGAGCTATCTGTGGACCTGTATCATTTCCTTCAAACTTTCCTCATCATTCTGAAATCCTTTATTTTCTGGTTGAAAGAGTTACAATCTAGTCATTTCTCACTAGTCTCCCCAGGAAATAAACTTCAGTACTCTGCGTTCTTCCATTGAAAGATATTACTTATTGCATATCATTCCATTTTATATTTAAATTACTTTAGAAAAATGTTAAGTAACCCTGGACAACAGTAAATACTAACTGGTAAATTGAGAACATGTAAACATTTCCCATCAAAACCATTAATGATATCCTTTTGAATCTAAAATGTGTAGCACTCAAGATTGGCTAGATTCTAAGGAAACAAATAGCTACTTCACCCTGTAACCTCATTGGGTATACACATGTCTAATGAGGCCTTAAAATCCTAGGTGGGCCATATGAGGTATAAAATGAATCGTATTTTAAAAGAATGAGGCTTCCTTTTCCCTAGAAATATTGTGACATCAGCTGTCACTGGAAAACTAGCCCGTTAAGTCAGAAAGGCCAGTGAAGGGCTAAATATTAATTTAGTTATACAATTTGGCAGGCTTTGATTTTAGTTTTAATATCTGGCATTTCAAAATCAACCCCTCTATATAATATTTCATTCTCATGTGCATCTAAAGAGGGCTTCAACCCCTGAAGAAAAACTAACTCCAAAATCTAGCAAAGAATACCTGCCAGGAAGTACTATGGTTTGTTGAATAATTTTTATAAGACTCTTGTAAATCACAGATAAGATTAACTGTCTAAAAGCTATTTTCCCCAAAGTAACGCACTCTATATGTGATTTGGAGACGTTACTACAAGATTTAGAACTTAACCTACATAATACAAAGAATCAGTAGACATAAAATGTGGTCACTGAAAACAAGTATAAATTTGAAAACATAGCAATTAGTGAAACTATAATTAAAATGAAGATGGGCAATGTTGAGGCAACAAAATCAAATGCTCCGTGTGGTCTGTAATTACTGATGAGGCTTTCCAAAGTAATCTGGAAAATTAAATAAGACAGTGAAATTCAATGCAAAGAAATTAGGACCAGGTCCATGACATAGTAGACATTTCACAAGTAGGTACTGATAGTATTACATCAGCACTAGTAAAGAGACGTTTTGTTTACAGGCACTCATTTTCTGGTAAATAGAGTACACAAAGTTCCTAGGTCAGATGAATAAACTATAACCTGGACCTTTACAAGTCATGCAAGTTTACTAAGAGTAAATGGGCAAATTGCCAACTCCATCTCTAAAATGCAGTGTAGGTGATGGGGTTCTGGGAGTGGTGATCCTCAATGTTCTCTTATGGGGACCAAGACAAAATGACAACCCAGCCTATCTACTATAATTTCATGCTTTTAACATTTCCTTTGTCCTTAGACTCCTTCCTTCTAGACTGCCTTATCTTTCCTTTTAGGCCAGTGATTCTCAATCTTTTCTGAAAATTAAAGCCACTGGAGAGCTTTTAAAAATTCCTATGCTCAGGCCCTACCCAAAAGAACTGAATCCAAATCTATGTGGGTGGGGCTCTGGCATGAGTATTTTTCGAAACTGCTAAGATGACTTCACTGACCAGACGAGGTTGGAAAATACTGCTCTGAAAGACTACATCTAGCCGGGCGCGGTGGCTCAAGCCTGTAATCCCAGCACTTTGGGAGGCCGAGACGGGCGGATCACGAGGTCAGGAGATCGAGACCATCCTGGCTAAAACGGTGAAACCCCGTCTCTACTAAAAAATACAAAAAACTAGCCGGGTGAGGCGGCGGGCGCCTGTAGTCCCAGCTAATCGGGAGGCTGAGGCAGGAGAATGGCCTGAACCCGAGAGGCGGAGCTTGCAGTGAGCTGAGATCTGGCCACTGCACTCCAGCCTGGGCAACAGAGCAAGACTCCGTCTCCAAAAAAAAAGACTACATCTAGAGCAAGAATCATTTTAAATAATTTGTTTTTGTATTTTAAACCTGTAAATAACACATAGCATTAGTGTTTTTCACCACTCTGTCTGTTAATGTACAAATGAATGAATGAATGGACAAATAACTATTTTATTTATCCATGACGTGGAGTTGAATGTCCAGGAACTGAAAAGTATTACAATGACACTCTACTATTTTATTTTCTAAATTAAGAAGATTTATTCAGGGGTTTAGCTATTCAACTTTCCCCAACTTTTAGTAGAAATACATCCATTTAGTTTATCATGGGCCTTGGATACAGCATTATAAAGTGAGCATTTTTTCAGATTACACTGAGATGGCCTCTCTTTGTATAAGTGGCTAGAAGAAGGAACTTTTCCCCCCAGTAGCTCGTATTCCCACCTATCACACCATGCCATGTACAGAATACCACTTTGACTCCATACACTCCTATGGAAGAAACCAGACTCTTGATTATGTAGAGGAATGCACAGGTCTCCTGCGTTTGGATTTTCCTTTAAAGCAGAGAAAAGTGGTAGGTCTGTAGAGCAAAGCAGGAGACATCATTATCTCCCAGGTGTCAAGATGCAGATAATGGCATTCCAGTCTTGAACCATTTCATTTCATCTTCCTGATGTTCACAAGGCCATGAAACAGACATAAATGATGAATTCCAAGAAACTTTTATTTTTAAAAATCAAGTTTTGATATAATAAATGTTGGATTGAGGATAGAAATTTAAGCTGAGAAATGTTTAATTTGAATCTAAAAAGTTTATTATTACTATTATTATTGTGGAAGGAAATACATATAGGCACATTTTAGTATCTACAATAGTATTCGGAAAGCTGATGTTATGAAACACAAAACTTCATTTAAATTTCATTATAAAGACCTTTATCAGGAGAAAGGACACATTTTCTATTTCTTACTTTTATTTTGTGCCTTGAAAGACTTGTGAATGTATAGAAGAATTATTTTTTCTTACTGTTTCCTCTTTGCAACCCAACCTCCACCATGTCAATCGTGAAGGTAGGAAGAAAGCTGTATTTGCTACTTTTAAAAATGATAACGAGAAGAAATTAAAACAATGGCTTAAGAGAAAGAGGATGTAAGGAGTACAAAGCAAAACTTAACAAAGAGTTAGTAAAGGCACTTGCATTGACAATCCACTCAGCCACGTTAATTTTATCATTAATGCTGTCTTCATAATTTTTTTTTCCGGGTCTCTCTGCTTGTATTTGCCTAGTGCTCTGAAATACACGGGAAGAGACACTTATGGAAAAGTTACGAAGAGCAGTTGGCAATCGACATGTTCTAGAAGGGTGTGTGGAGTAGCAAAACAAGTGGAACGGATGAAGACCTTCCAAGCTCTCTTGCAGAATTTTGGGCCCTAGTGTGCAGGGCTGCTCCCGGAGAGGGAGGTAAATGTCGCCCATTCCTACTTGGACCTCCCATCCAGGACACTGCCCTTAGAGATAAATCTGTTGGACAGCAGCCAAGAGACCCCAAACTGCCCCAACCTCCAGGACACTGCAAGTTGCAAGTTTCCGAGTTGGGGAGGCAAAGCGGGAAAACATGATTGGCGATTTCCTCCTGCCACTCACCGACCGGAGAAATGGGGAGGCGGACTCCAACTTTTTCGTGGACCGCCAAGAGCACTATAGGGCGTCCTTCTATAAAAAGAGAAGAATCCCATGAGGGGCAACAAGCAAACTCATATGTTATCCCTTTAGCCGGATTGTGTGCTGATGATTGTTTCCCTATTTACACATCGAATCACCCCTGTGGCCTTTTGTGAGTCCCCAAGGCAGCCTCAGCCTTCGCAAACCGTCCAGTGGGGCACGAATCTCGGAGGGGTGCGGACTGCAGGCGGGAGAGAGAAACCAAAGAGGGGCGGCTCTTCCAGGCCGTCCACTCCCAGGCGAGCGGCTCCTCAACCTTCGATCGGCTCGAGTCCCTCGGACATTGCTCACTCACAGCGTGCAGAGGGGTCGCACTCCCTGTGGGTTCTCGGCCCTCAGGAGCGGCGCTGCGCAGGAAAGTCACCTCCACTACGGGCCAAGCACAGTGATAGGGGTGGGGAATAGCCGAGGGACAGTGTGGGGGTCGCGGAGATTGGGGTGGGGACGGCCGCGGAGGGGGCGGTGGGAGTGGGGTGGGGCCGGGGCGGGCCGGGGGCGGGGCTCCGGGGCTGCGGGGCGGGGTGCGCCACAGCGCCCCCTCGCTGCGCGCTCCCCACGGTACCCCGAGGCCGCCGGTAGCTCTGGCTCGCCAGCCCCTTTGTGTGCGACGCGCTGGCCCCGAGGAGCGCGGCACGGGCACAGCGGAGGCCTCCCAGGGTCCCACCGCTTCTGTCCCAGCCGGGCCGTGCTCTCCTCCTTCTCCTTCTCCGCTCCTCCTTTCTCCAGTCCCCGGCCTTCGGCTCCGAAAAGCAGCCATTGGGCCGTGAGCAGCCAGCGTCCGGCAGCGCTCCCTACCCCGCCCGGCCCGGGACGCTCGTCCCCCTCCCGCCCTGTCCTCTCTGAATTTCCCCCAACCCCCACATCCCGGGCCTCCAAGGTGGAGAAAATAAACTACACGCAGAGCAACTCAGTCTCCAATAAAACGCCCAGTACCTAGAGCCCGAGCGCGTGTGCCGGGCTGCGAGGGGCGCGGGAGGCGGAGATGGGGGGGCGGGCGGGGGGGACAATGAGCGCATGAAGTTACCTGCCCGGCGGCGGCGGCTGCAGCGGCGGCGGCGGCGGCGGGACCGAGAGGCGGCGGTGGAGCAGGCTGCGCGCTCGGCGCCGACGGGTGCGCGCCGCGGCTTGGGGGAGAGTTGAGCGCTTTTCCCCCCTCTTTTTTTTTTTTTTTCTCCTCTTCTTCTTAAACAAACCACAAACGGATGTGAGGGAAGGAAGGTGTTTCTTTTACTCCTGAGCCCAGACACCTCACTCTGTTCCGTCTAAGCTTGTTTTGCTGAACACTTTTTTAAAAAAAAAGGAAAAAGAAAAGGAGTTGCTTGATGTGAGAGTGAAATGGACGTAAGATTTTATCCACCTCCAGCCCAGCCCGCCGCTGCGCCCGACGCTCCCTGTCTGGGACCTTCTCCCTGCCTGGACCCCTACTATTGCAACAAGGTGAACGCTCTGCTTTTGTTTCCACCGTGTTCTTGCTGCTTGATCCCGGGAGGGGGGCGGCGGTGGCCGGGCCGCGGCGGGGCCGGCTTGGCGGAGGCCGGTCCCGGGCGCGCTCGGCTCGCAGCCCGCTGCAGCCTGCGTGCGCTTGGGTAGTAAATATTGTGGAGTAGCTCCGGGGGCTTGCCAAACACCGCGATTGTGCGGAAAGTGACACGATTTGCTCGGATTCTTTTCTTCCTGCTGTTCGCGACTAAGGATCCCTGCCTAGGTTTGCCGGGGGGCGTTTAAAAAAATAATAAGAGAAAACCGTGGAATACTTTGGGGGTGTGTCTGGGGTCCAGGAACGGAGGCAGAGTAAGAGAATTCAGTTTATTTCCCAGTTGCCCCTTCTCTCTCCCTCCCTCTCCCGGGCAGTGGGAGCTCGTGGCACCACTTCCCTTCTCCGGAGTAGTTGCCAGGGAGCAACCGGGAGTCGGGGTGCAGGGACCCGGGAGGCGCCCCTGCCCCCCATAGGGAAAACTGCCCCACGACTCTTTTGTTTTCCCAAACCGGTTCCAGCAGCCGAGCCCGGGTTCGGACACAGGTCCGCGGGCCACAGCACAGCGGGGTAGCTGGGTCACGGTTTGGAGAACAGCTCCTGTTTTAGGGGTGCGCGCGGAAATTGCAAGTTTGTTTGGAGCCGAGCGAGCACGTCGCGTTCAAGTCCAAAGCTCCCGCACTCGGCATGGGGCTGGAGCAGGGTCCGCTGCTGAGTTGTACCCACGGCCCGCTGACCTCGGGTGCCAGGGCCGCGGGGGCCCGGGGAGAGGCGGATCCTGCCGGTGACCCGGAGGTGGGGCGCTGGCCCGGGCTGCTGCGGAGTTCGGCTGGGTCCACCTATAGGACAGTCAGGGGGTACGAGGGAGGGGGTTACTCTCCCGGCTTCTCGAACTCTCTCATCCCCGAGAGGGAGGACACTCAGGGACCGGTCCCCCAAAGTGGTCGCAGGGCACGACTGCCCCCGCCTAGGGCTAGCTGTTCGTGTCTAAGCAGTCCCGTTGGATGTACGTTGGCAGAGAGAATTGAGGTCTCTAAAACGCGGGGCGGGCCTTTTAGATGCCCAGCTCCCGCTTGGTGATAAATCCGCCTGATACTCACCGCCCCTGCAGGCACATCCATGGCGACCCTCGGTGTATTACACAGGAAAAATCGTTGGGACTGCCAACATTTGCCTGGTGGCGAGTCGTCACCAAACAGCTTTTTTACCTGATGCAGAGATACTTAGTGCTCTGCCTTCTCAGCCCCTGGACTCCCCACCACGCGACCGAGTCGCAGCTCCGAGTCGTGGACAGTGTTGACACACAGTCAGGCTCTCACACACACACTTCCCCGTGGAGAAGCTCCTCGGTGCTGTGTCCAGTGTGAGACCCACTCAAAGGACTGTGCTGTGTGCCGATGGTGTTTAGGCAAGTTAGAAAAGAGGGACATCCAGTCTTGAGCAAGGCAGAAGGGCTTCCATTGTACAGGGAGCCCTTCAGCTAGGGACAAGTTGAAAGGTACGGGGAACTTTGGCGAGCGCAGAGGAGTTTGTGTGATGAAGTTTCATTATTTGCTGGTGACATAGTTCTTTTAGTCTAAAATCTGTTTTGTCTGTACACTCAAGTATCGTGTTACGTTTTGTTTTGCTTATGACACCAACAGTATTGCTAATAAAAAATAATAAAGTTGCAGCCCTATCTTGGAGAGTAAAGATATATTCCACTGTAGTTACCGGAACCAAAAGCTCAGAACTATTTTGGCAATGAAACTGGACAAATCTTATTAAGTTTATCAGTGATTTTAGGCCCCCAAAAGAAGTTAATGACTTGGATACACATTTCACTCCTCGTTCTTGTGATAAGTAGGGTCAGATTTAATTTAAAAGTTAAATGCTTTGGAAAAATCAGGAATTACTTCAATATATTAAATCATTTTCCAATTAAGTGCTTTAAATAATTTTAGTGAGTTGTACTGTGAATTGAATAAATTAATTTAGAAAGTATTCAGAATTTCTTTACTAGCTCATTGAAGTTCCTTTTAAGTCACCCCGTGTATAAGAAGCAAACTGTTCTTTTTAAATGCAAATGAGGCACCCTTTCTATAGACTAGTTGCGGGTCTTCTATTTAACTTATCCAGAGAATAATAGATTTTTAAAATGCAAAGTCATAAGATATGTTTCTAATAGTAGAAGAAGACTTCATGGAAATGTTTCTCCAGGGACATCTCTGGCCCATCTCTATGTAGCAGTCCATCAGATATATTTGTCACTGGTCCCTGATTATATTAAATGTACTGGATAGTTTTCTAGGCCCCACAAAGCCCAGGCACTTGAGTTTTTTCACTCCACCGTGATTAGCATTGGTACAAAATTTCTGTCCAGCTCTACAATTGTAGTTGTGCATAATGCAGTCAACTAGCATTTGTTTTTGCAAAGACATGAGTGGATTTGCAGGGAAATGGAAGAAGGACAGAAGTTTGGAAAAGGCGAAGTAAGAAATCTGTGCCTACATTTATTAAAACAAGTTGGATCAGACATCCCCAAAAGAACAATACTGCAAAGTAAATCTTGCTTCCTTCGGAGGCGTAATGAATATGTAGTTTATTACAAATAGCAGTCAGTTTGTCAGGTGATTTGTTTTTAATAGAGTGATAAGATCATAAATTACTTATTATCTTTATTTTAAACCTGTCAACACTTTGCTATTTAAAGTTGGTGTGCTAAATCCCAGCGGAACCAGTATCTATCTGTGCTTTAGAATCCTACAACTGTAGCTACAGTTTCCCAGTGACATTGTTTTCAGTGTCAGAAGAGACTCTAATGGAGAAAATGAATATTCTCTTCCTGAAGCTTTCTAAACTAAAATGTGATTGTTTTCCTCTGCTGACACTTTCCGGCACTGCTGCTCTATAGATTGCCAAAACACTACTTCCATTTTTCAGTTAATAAACTCTGGAGGAGGCATTTTTGGACACGGTTTAATCTAGTATTGCTCTATTGTAAGACTAATATGCGTTATGAACATATCACTATGCAAAGTGGCCTCCATTTTCACACAGCCCATTGTGGGAACAATGCGTATGATGTTGGTTAAGGCAAGTGTGTGAGGCATCTCTTATACAAACAGCCAGAATGGGTGGCATGTTGCTGTATGTAGGTCAGTATTGGAAATAGCAGTGTAGCTCATAGACTGGACAGACACATGGAGGCTGGAGTTAGCAGTATTCACCTCTTGCAACCTAAAGCATGGTTGTATTTCAGACATTGAAAGATGAGTACCATAGTGGAGTTTCATCTAATTAGACTATTTGAAGTAACATTGTATCCCTTAATTGAGCTGAATGCTACCAAAATAAATTGGATTAAATGAGCTTACAATTGGAGTTCTGTAGTGATATAGTCTTATTTTCTATTCTAGTTAAAGATGTCAGATCATCAGTTTAAATATATACCTACAGAGTAATAACAGTTCTTTTCAGTTTCTTAGTACAGCGTCATTTCCAAAGATTGTTTTCACTGGTTTTATGCTAAGATAGGACAAAGAAGTGGTACTTTTTCATTTTTACAACGATGTGATGTGTTCAGTTATTGCTCAGTATCTGCCCACATAAGGAGTAGTAATACAATTATGTTATGACATGGCTAATGACAGGGATGGTGACCTCAGCCTGCAGTGGGAGGAGAAATAATGGGCTTCACTGTTCTCAGTGGTTGCCTTTATGGAATCATGTCCTGAATCTTTCTTTGGTTGATTTAGAAACAGGGAAGTCCAAAACACAAACCCATGCTTCATGCTGGTGATATACAGAGTGAAGAATAATGGGCATTTGGAATATTCAGCTTTTATCATTGAAATGAGGAAGGACAGTGCATATGTTCTTTTTCGTGAAAACGCACAAGGAAGGACCCATTTGTGATGAACTCTGCTTGAAAATGTCAGGGCAAACATTAGACATTTGATAACTTTTAAGAATAACAAGATTCATTACAGTCTCTGCAAAATCTCCTTTGAGCTTATTTTCCTATTTAGAATGTATTATGTGTTATACTTTAATGTGGCAATACTCATCACATCAAAAATACAAGATTTGCAAGCACATTAAGAAGGAGTCATTATTCCTATTTTGAACAGTAAATGTAAGAAAAAGGAAGAGGATGGGAGGAGGAGCAGATGAAGAGGAGTATGGGGAGAAAGAGTGAAAAGAAGGGAGGGTTATAAGTTTAGAGCATTATGCTTGATTAGTTCTCCATCCACCTCCATAACTTCTAGGACTTTGGGAAATTCATAGTTGATACTTCATACATCATATATATAATTAAAATTCCCCTGGGAGTTTTATCAGCTGGCACTTTTCAGAAGTTTTGAGGTTGTTAAATATGTTTTAAATAAATACCTATGTAAGAAAGAGCATAAACCAAGCAATCATGGTTTTTGGCCACTAAATCAGATATTATACAAAAGCTTCAAATGTAGCTATGTTGACTGTGTGGGTTATTTCAATATTGCAAATTCAATTTTAAATGTCTGTGCAAACAAAGTTATAGTTATGAGCTTTAGAGGGATCTGATGTTATTTTTAACATTGCATAGGTAGTTTAGTATTCTCACAGTTTATCGTGTATTTTAAAAGTTAGTAAGTGATATTAAGGAGAATTTTGATATTTTGCCTAGTTATGAAAACTAAACTCATATGTAATTATCTAATTGAATGATCATTGTGGATATTGTTTAAATGATGTGATTGCAAGGGAATTAAGAACAGTGGAACAGGAAGAAGTAGGGAAATTTCCAGTTTTCGGGGTGGTTTCCTAGGTACCAATCTGGTTCTCAAATGTTGGTTTTGGTGTGTGAGAGACTGTTTCTAGTGGTGATATGTTTTTTGTGATGGGCTCCATTCAAGAGTGTTAGCCTAGAAAATGACGAAGGTAGTGGGGAGCACAGTGATTTTATTTAGCTGTGAAGGGTGATTTATTATAGTGCTTT